GTTGGAATTTTTTTTTTAAATCTCCAAAAAAATTTCCAACCGACATCCGTTGGAATTCCGTTGGAATTTTTTTTTTAAAATTTCCAAAAAAATTTCCAACCGACATCCGTTGGAATTCCGTTGGAATTTTTTTTTAAAATTTTCAAAAAAAATTTCAACTGACATCCGTTGGAATTCCGTTGGAATTTTTTTTTTAAATTTCCAAAAAAAATTCCAACGGATATCCGTTGGAAATACCGTTGGAAAATTTCAACCCTAATTTTTTCAATTGAATACGTTGAAAATTCCGTTAAAAATTTCCAACGGGCGATTCCAACGGATATCCGTTGGAAATTTTCAACGGATTTTTAACGGAAATCACCGTTGAAATGTCGTTGAAAACCGTTGAAAATCCGTTGAAAAATTTCCAACGGACGATTCCAACGGATATCCGTTGGAAATTTTCAACGGATTTTTAACGGAAATCACCGTTGAAATGTCGTTGAAAACCGTTGAAAATCCGTTGAAAAATTTCCAACGGATAAATCCGTTGGAAAATTCGTTGGAATTTGCTGATTTTTTTGTAGTGTCCGACCCTATAGATTTTGAGCTCGGATCGGGTCGAACCGGACCAGATCGATCCGTACAATTTTCTCTGTAAAATATATTTTTTTCTTTTTTAACATTTTTTAAAAAATATATATATATATTTTGAGTTTTCAGACCAGTCCGAATCGAGTTCGGATCCCAATATGAACCTGGTCCAAAAGCCCAATTTTTTTGCCAAAAATCGACCCTATAGATTTTGAGCTCGGATCGGGTCGAACCGGACCAGATCGATCCGTACAATTTTCTCTGTAAAATATATTTTTTTCTTTTTTAACATTTTTTAAAAAATATATATATATATTTTGAGTTTTCAGACCAGTCCGAATCGAGTTCGGATCCCAATATGAACCTGGTCCAAAAGCCCAATTTTTTTGCCAAAAATTTTAGGTCCAAAATCCCTATTTTTTGGGTTGGACCGGACCAGATTTTGGGCTCCTGCACCTAAATTGACATCCCTAATTAAAAGCACCTAAGATTCGGTGACTCAAATTGTAACTTTTTCCCAATTCAGTGTAAGCCGATTATTAAAAAAGATGTATTGAATGCATGTACAATACAACAAATCTAAAACCGTCGACCTTCAAAACATCATCTCCATTTGTCTAAACCGATTTTATAACAAAGTATGATTTAAATAATTTCGTATAACCTATGCTTTCTTTAAGCCGGTTAGTTTTGTATTATAAATAGCTCGGTCGAACTATGAAGTCGAGCAAGATATATTGGATACCAAAATGCATAAATAGACCATCCCTTCTTCTGTGTCACTATTCAATGCTACCTCTATTTGATCCAAATGACAATGAAACTTGAAATGTCCATGAAATCTGATTCCATTATCTCCAAATCAACTTCGAGCTATCAACTTCTTTTGCTGTGATTTTCATAACATGTATCGGCATATTTTGCCATTATTTTCATTTAATAATTATAAGTTTAATTAGCTTTCGTTATACTATTAACATCCTAAAATATTTATTTTTAATGTTATTAATTTTTAAAATTTAAAACAAGAATCAAATACACTCCCGATTTTTCTCTTAACATCGTTTTTTATTCAATTTGTTAACCCTTAAACTAAGTTATTTATGACAATTTTGGTTATATAAAATCTTTATCTTTTTGTTAATAAAATTATTTACATACGTACGAATATTAGTTATAACTAAAGAAATTTTTTGAGTTGAAAAAAGTTTTTAATATATTGAACATCATTCAATCTTTTTATTATTTCTCACAAATATTACTCACATATAATAATTTAATGATCATTTTTGTCTAGAACATTAATTTCTTATTTTTATGTAAGAAAAAATCATGCATTTTTAATGTTGCTAATAACCTAGTCATTTAAAACATAATTTTTATATATAAGACTTTTATTATAGCCAAAAAAAATTGGTAACCTTACATAATTTGTTTATTTTGTAATCGGCCTAAAACATATTTATTTGATTAAATGGACTTGCAAGGCCAAGTGCAGACGCAAGCGTATCTTTGCTCGTAAGTCTGGACGCAGGTTCCGGTCCCCTTCCATTTCTGGGTGCACATTGACCGACACGTGGCCTCCTCGCAAGTTGTTTTTGTCAAATTTTCATGGCACATGTGCTGAGCATTGGTCTCCTTCACCATTGTCCCTATTATTTATCAGATATATACAAAATCTATCAATTTGGAACCATAAATAGTAGCGGAAATTAGGGATAGAGAATTGTAAAGTTGAAATTCAAAAATTGAACGAATATTTATAGAAAAAGACAAAAAATCATGTATATAGATTAATATTGTATATATATTTTTTCGAGATTGTATTAAATAATATATTAACATATAATAGAAATTAGACAATGAAAACATACCCCAAATGAGGAGGATGACAATGCAATAACAGAAGCGAAAAGATTTAACTGTTTTTACTAATAAAGTAAGATCTAGTATCGCCTAGAGATGATGATTATATGAACCGTGTTTTATTTTCATAAATATATAATATTATTGAACATTGGTTAATAAAACATATAAGGTTATACTATTATAAAAGCTCTTTATTTTAGATGTTCAAAATCAATCCTTTATTTCAATATAATATGAAAATGAAAGTAAACCTGAGAAGAGGAGGAGGAGAACGGCGACAACGATGGAGAGATGAAAAGTTTTAGCCATCTTCGTGATATAGACACAGCAAAAATATAATATTGAATAATGAATACCATATGATGATTCGATCAATGTTATATATACATGCACGTACGTACGTATACGTGTGTGAGAATCTTTTTTAATTAATATGGTAATGAATTTGCGTATAAAATAATTAAAAACATATATTACGTAAGATATTAATATCCTTTGAGAGAGAAAGAATCGTAACGTACGTACTCATTGAGATTATCAGCCAAATCGTGAATTTACATAATTAGAAGATATAGAATGCATGTTCACGTCTCTGCGGTTAACACAAATCTGTACATTCCTTCAAAACATGACCATCTCCTTCGATTTTATACCAAATAATGGTTTTTATTAATATTATTTTTTATTTTTTATTAATTAATATTATTAAATATTAGAGATTGATTATGTGGCAGATGACTAGGGTGTCATATCAGTATTAAATAGTATTTGTTTTTTATTCAGGGTTTTATTGGTCAATTTTTAAAACTACAGTTTTAATTTCCAATTTTTAAAAGTATAATATTTTTTTGGATAAAAAAAGTATAGGATTTAAATTGCGACGAGGAAAAAGTATAGGGTTTTTAATAGAATTATCTCTTGATTTTATACCAAATAATGATTTAAATATTTTTTTATAACCTATGCTTTCTTTTATTTAAGCCGGTTAGTTTTGTATTATACTAACTGAGTCAAACTATGAAGTGGGGCAAGATATATTGGATACCAAAAGAGTTAAATATACCATCTTTTTATATCTATGTGATTCAAATAACAAACGAAATTTTAAATGTCCATGAAATCCGATTTCATTATCTCCAAAACAACGTCAAATTATTAACTTTTTCTGTTGTTATTTTCATAAGTATCAATATACCTTGTCATTATTTTCATGTAATAATTATAAGTTTAATTAGCTTTCGTTATGCTATAAACATCCTAAAAAATTTATTTGTCATGTTATTAATTTTTAAAATTTTAAGAAAAGAATTAAATACACTCCCAATTTTTCTCTTAACATCATTTTTTTATAAATTTTGTTAACTTTAAACTAAGTTATTTATGAAAATTTGGTATCTTTTTGTTAATAAGATTATTTACGTATGAATATTGCTTATACCAAAACAAACTTATGAGTTGTAAAAAGTTTTTAATATATTGAACATCATTCACTCTTTTTTTATTATTTCTCACAAATATTATTCACATCTAATAATTAAATAATCATCATTTTTTCTTATACCAAAAAAAAATCATTTTTTCTAGAATATTAATTTTTTTTATTATTATTTTCATAGAAAAAATCGTGCATTTTTAATGTTGCTAAATTATAGTTTTTATGTATAAAACTTTTATTATAGCTAAAAAAAAATTGGTAACCTTACATAATTTGTTTATTTTGTAATCAACCTAAAACATATTCTATTAAGTGGACTTGCAAGGCCATGTGCAAACGCAAGTGTAACTTTGCTCGTAAGTCTGGACGCAGGTTCCGGTCCCTTTCCATTTCTGGGTGCACATTGACCGACACGTGGCCTCCTCGCAAGTTGTTTTTGTCAAATTTTCGTGACACATTTGTTGAGCGTTTGTCTCCTTCACCATCGTCCCTATTATTTATCAGATATATACAAAATCTATCAATATGGAACCATAAATAATAGTGGAAATTACGGATAGAGATTTTGATTTGTATATTGAAGTTGAAATAAATGGTATTTAATTGACAACGGATCCAAGATTCAAAAACTGAATGAATATCATTATTTTTAATTACGTTAATCAAAATAGAAACATTGACAAATATATGAAATAATAACATTTTTAACTAAAATTTAAATAAATAATAATCAAGTTAAATCCGATAAAAAAATAATAAATATATTTTTAAAAAACAAAAAAAAACAACACCAATGATTCCCCAAAAAAAGTTAATAAATAAGGAAAAAATTTGGTGGGGAAAATCTCCGCTTTGGATAATGTCTCCGTCCGAGGAAAACACATGCCTTCGTTTTTTCATAAACAAAAAATATCTTTAAATTGTATTTTTCAATATAACTGGTGACAATTAAAATATTTTAAAATATAATAGTAGGGTTTGAGTATTTTGAAATTAAAATCTAAAATTTAGATGCAAATTCTATAAATGAAAATGAAAAAGAAAAAAACTCCGATTTACCAAAAAATGTGATAAGACACAAAACAGGTATAAAAATGTAAGATTTTCTCACGAATCAAGTTATAAAAAAATGTTTATAAATTAATATATTACATATTTTCTAAGGTTATATTAAATCATATCTCTCTGTACAATAAAAAATAAAAATAAAAATAAAAAACACACCTGAAACGAGGAGAACGAGGATGGCGACAAGGGCAATAGCAGAATGGTGAAAAGATTTAACCATCTTTGTTGATAAAATAAATTCTATTAATGAGAATATTGATAAGAGACGGTTATTATATAATGCTTGAGAAGTTGCGGAGAAGGAAATTAGAATATGATAAATGGATCTGTGGAGATTTCTTTCTGTTGATGAAAATGTTCGGTTTAGGTAAAGAATCTTCTTTTCTTGGTTTCTTTCGATTTTATATTTTATGATATTCCATTTTTTTTTATTTTCAATATGTGTGATGGATGTTAAGAATATTCTTTTCGTGGCAAAATGTGCCTTATATTAATTGTTTGATCGCGTATCAAGAATATTCGGACAAGGAAAGACCAAATCATCTCCTAATGTGCATATATCTCGGCCATAATCTTTCCGTACCTTGCTCTTACTATTTCGCATATTATCGTTAGATATTTACTTTCCTATCGTACCCGTTACATTAATGAGTGTAAGTTTGAATATATTGTGATAAAAAAACAAAAAACATATTTTTGAACCGGATTTTGCTCTCCTCTACTTTTTTTTTTTTTTATTGAACAAGATAGGTCATAAACGACATTCAACTATAAACCGATATCTTTAAATCTTATACATTTAAATTAATCTTCATTCGTCCATATATCAATGTACGAAATGGTAAATGACTGATTTTAAAAAAGTACTAAATTCTCATAGTAGAATTCGAACCTCTAATTGTCTCCTTTTTTTCAGTTATACACTACTTGGTGTTTTTTTTCTTTAGTCTCATCCACAAACTCCAAAATATCATAGAATTCTACATTAACTAAATGGAAACCAGGAAATTTTTTTTTTAAGAAAATTAAAAAATCGAACCGGATAGATATAATAATAATAATAATAATAATAATAATAATAATAATAATAATAATAATAATAATAATAATAAATAATAATAATAATAACCCAAACACATTTAATACATCTCCTCGATATACATGCTAACAAATACATGTCAAGAAACCTACGGATGAAAAACAAACCATGATTGACGACGAATTGGAAATGTTGCAGATGCCGAAAGAGTTAATCCGAGATCGAAATGAGTGAAGTAAAAGGATTCATACGGTTGACCCCAAATGAATTTGGGAATGAGGTCATGTTGTTGTTGTTGTATTGACGACGAACTGGGGTATTATCCAGAATCTTTTTTTTTCTAAAACTATTTCTGCAGTATTTTTTTTCAGTTGTGATTATATTGTCAGCAATCATATAGTGATTATATTAGTTATAACATTAAATTTATGGTGATCGTACTAAATCACTATAATCACATCTAATATGTTAAACTAATCCATTGGTGAAACCATAATAAATTTAACGTTATGACCAATGTGATCATATTCTAATTCTGATCACGTGGTCGTATCTGAAAAAGGATATATATAGAAATAGTTTTAATAAAAAGATGGTATTTTGGATAGAATTTCCGACCAAACTGCGGAGGGAAAATGTGTTGGAGCCAAACTGAGAATAGACGATTTCGTAGCGATGTGGACCGAAACGATGATGTTTTGATCTTGACGATGTATGATAAATACACATAATTTAGTTATAAAAATAAGAAAATACACAGAATTTATATCATATTTATTTGTAAGATTTTTCCTTAGGTTTTAGGGGGAATGCAGCGCCAGGTGCAAATGCAGGAGCGTTTTCGCTCGGTGGTCTGGAGGCAGAGTCCGGTCGCTTTCCATTTCTCCATACACATGGAGTTACACGTGGCATCCACGCAGTTCGTTGTCGGCAAAACGTCGCGACACATCTCTTGACCGCTCGTCTCCTCCACCATCGTCCCTAATTGATCAAAGGAACTGTATTTAATTGCTAACCAATCGAATTTCAAAAATTGAATAGATATTATTCTTATCTATTTAATTGATCAAAATCATTACATTAACTAAAAATTGATCTAAAATAAAAAATATATTTGAGCTAAATTCTAAATGAATTAGAATCAAAATGAATGCAACAAAAAAAAACAACGAATGTATTTTTTTCAAAAAAAAAACATATATAAAAAATCTCTATTTTTATTTGGGTTTGGAAAAAAAAATACGTTTAGAAGAAAAAACATTGTCCAACAATGAAACATCATTGAACGTTTTAAAAAAAAAAGGGTTTATAGAATGATACGTATTTATTTATTTATGTACAATATGAATTGAAAGTAAACCTGAGAAGAGGAGGACGACGAATGCCACAATGAGGGAGAGGTGGAAAGTTTTAGCCATTGTCTAGATATATCAAAATATAATATTCACCAGACGTGATTTTCATATATATATATATATATAAAGTGAATGAAGGTGACAATGGATTTGCAAAGTATTAAAATAATATATAGAAAGCCTTGAATACGTGGATATTGGTATCATTTGAGCTCAATATAATTCCATAAAAGTGTGGATATTAGTTTCATATTCGAGACAAATTCTATGAATTTAATTGTAAAGAATCTAAAATTGTAGATCTTTAGATATCAATAGAGATATTGGATGCAATGTACCTGCGAATAAAAATATAATCATTCCTTCAAAAAATATTGTACTTTCCTTGTCTCAACTTAATATTTAATTAAACTTTTTATGTGTCCAAATAAAACAGGTTCTGGGTCAAATTTAATCCACGTGGAATACATTTAATAAGCTGTGGTTACAATGCAAGGCCCATCCCAGTATTCAAAGGCCGGAGATTGGATCACAAATAACAAAGCCCTAAACCTAGAGAACATGAACAAAGCCTTGAACCCTATTCTCTCCTTTCTCGTTTCCACCTCTCACAGTGACACACACACACGGCTCTGGTTCTCTTTCGGCTTCCCCCATCACTATCGCTCCCTCCTGCCGGAGATAACCCTCTTCTCCCGAAACCCTAAAGCTCCCCTCTTTATCGGTTTCTTCTCGGGAGGAATCTATTCCCGCTTTTCCATTCGAGAAATGGCGGAGGAAGAGGTTGTCGCTGTTCCTGCGCCGCCGTCCGAACACAAGCGCAAGCTCGATGAAGTTGTGCCTGATGAGGTCCCGCGTGAAGGGTCGAATGCCGATAATGAATTTGCGTATAAAATAATTAACATTCGAGAAATGGCGGAGGAAGAGGTTGTCGCTGTTCCTGCGCCGCCGTCCGAACACAAGCGCAAGCTCGATGAAGTTGTGCCTGATGAGGTCCCGCGTGAAGGGTCGAATGCCGAGCTCGATGGAGGTGCCGTTGATGATGGTTTTTCTCAGGTGAAGCGGCCGAAGCTCGGCGACGAGCCTGGTGGTTTAGGTACTTCTGATTATTTTTTGGCTTGATTCGAGCTGTTGATTTAGTCCACTTAGGTTTTTTCGATGTCTTTTGTGAGTTATCGGGACGGATTCGTTTATGGGGTTCTTACAAAGCTTTGAGGATTGTTCTAGGGTTCGTTGTTCCATATATGTGATATGTGATGCACAAGTTATTGTGTTGCTTATCTCCTTGGATTGGTGAAAATTTTGGTCTTTTTGTATATGGTCAAGTTAGAGAAAGATTCTAATGTTGCATTCTACTGCAGATATTGTTGAACCTCAAGAAAATGGTTCTTCAGGAGAAAAACCCGAAGAGCACCATGAGGAGGAGAAGCATGAGGAAGAACCCCAATCCAATGAAAAGGAAACGGAGGAGGAGGAGAAACCCACTGAGTTGAAGGATGAGAACCCAGAAGGTGAACCTTCAGCAGAAGTTCAGAAGTCCATTCAAACCGAGGAAGTTGAAGAGAAAACGAGCAATAAAGAGCAAGGCTCTGATGATACTGCCAAGCCTGAGGATAACCAGAAAGCTTCTATTGATGCTCCAATCCCTCAGGAAGGTGGAGCAGAAGCAAAGAAGGAATCTACTGATGGAGTTTCTCAGAAGGAGGTTGATGGGACAGAGTCTACATCTCGCAGAATGGAGGTCCCGAGTTCAAAGGTGACAAGATCTGGTCTTGTTGTTGACTATCATGCGAGTAGGCGTGATTTTGGTTGATGATTTGCTATGTCATATACTTTGCAGGTGGGAGTACTTATTGGGAAAGGTGGGGATACTATAAGGTATCTTCAGTTCAATTCCGGTGCCAAAATCCAAATTTTAAGGGATGCTGAGGCTGATCCAAATTCAGCGTTAAGACCTGTGGAGATCATTGGAACAATTGCTAGTATCGAGAAAGCTGAGAAGCTTATCCATGCAGTCATAGCAGAGGTTTTATGTTGTCTGTTGATATTGGCTTCGCCTTCCACTTTGCAATATCTGTTTCTCATTGTTTATTTTCTCTATTCATTTTTTATCTGCCTTGAGTCTCTATAAATATCTGAATAGCAGTTTGGTTACAATGTTTCCTTCTGCTGAATTCTCAGGCTGAAGCTGGTGGTTCACCCGCTCTTGTGGCTAGGGGCCTTCCTGCAACTAATGCCATTGGTGTTCCAGAACAGATAGAGATTAAAGTTCCTAATGATAAGGTATCGCCTACATTAGTTGTTTCTGTGATTTTCCAGACCATACTTATCAAGCTTCTATCGGTAGGTCGGTCTCATTATTGGCCGAGGTGGGGAGACCATCAAGAACATGCAGACAAGATCTGGAGCACGCATTCAGGTGAACTTGATGTTTCATTGATCTAATAAAGATAGAAGGGTTGAACGGCTTCTGGTTATAAAACTTAAGGAATAAGGATAATACTGCTTATGGTTTTTTATGACTGATTACGGTTTTTCATGTAGTTAATACCACAACATACGGAAGGGGATGAATCTAAGGAAAGGACTGTCCGTATCTCTGGCGATAAGAGGCAGATTGACATAGCAACTGAGATGATAAAGGATGTTATGTTTCAGGTTTGTCCTCTGACTCTATATCTCTGTAGTATACATGAATTGTTCTGAGGTTTCCCGACTGATTTTTGAATACGATTTGTTATAAATATGTGAGTAGAGGCGCTTGGAGTGTCTACTTACTATTTTTTTTGTTTCATTCGTCTTGATGTAGTTTGTCTGAGATCATATATCGTAATTTCGCGGTGGTTATTCTGGTTTCAGTTCATGCAAATTAAATTTGGTTGTGCTATCCGTTTTAGTTTGCTGTTATAATTTGTCGTGGGTCTGTTACCTGTATTAGTTTTATGCATGATGTGTGTTAGGTTTGTTGACCACCCTTTCAGATTAATGTTGCAACTTTCATGTTGTTCTGAGAGTATAATGGCCTCGACTGTGGACATAACTAGTCCTTCCCATCTTCAAGTGTGTTTAGAAGATCTGCCATAGTTTAGTGAATACTTTATTTCTAAATTCAAAGCAAATCAGTGCTGTTTCCGAAGACTCTGAATCACGACATGTTTTGTGAAGTTGTATCATGTCCTTTTGGAGTACCCATCTCATACTGCTGCCGTAAGGATAGTTTCAGAAAAACATGCACAGACTGTACCAATTGACAATCCATTTCAAGCTCATCGAATTTTGTTAAGAATCATATGTTCCATCCTCGATGTCGGTTGCCATGATTTTTAATGTTGAAGGTGCCACTCTCGAATTGGTGTTGGCTTTAAAAATGCAGATTTGGCTATTACCTTTCACATGGGGTCAGCATTGCCTTGTTGGTGTACAGTAGACATCACTCGTGTCTACCGAAGAAGGTATCTGGCATTTGTTATTCACACTGGCAGGTTCTGATAGTTGGTAAGGTTGCTTTGAGTCTCGAAAATTTCAGGACCATTGGGTTAGCATGGCTATATTACAGTACCTTAGTGAAATCTAGCAGCCTGATGTTCATTACCTAAGACACCTGCTCTTTATCCGAAGTGATGATGACCCTCGAAGACAATTTTATCTGGATATGCTGTGGACCAAAATTCTCTTTAGGGAATTACAGTTGCATTACATATGTTCTAAATGCTTATGGGATGACCTAGAAGGATATTGTGTCTGGTTATTTCATATATGATATTTAGCTTTAACTCTTTATCTCAAGCTAGCACTGCAGTTTCAAGTAGTTTGGGAATGTGGACCTAGTTGATGTCAAACCTCGATGCTGAACTTGAAACATTTTGGTTTGTCGTGGACAGCTTTGTTGTGTTATTATCATTGGATTTAAGTTTTAAACACTCATGACATTTGTTTCTGAGCATTTACTGCATCTTACCAGTTGTGATGGGATATGTCTTGGTTTCGGTGCCTTGATTTGTTCGTAGTTGTATCCTCCTGTTTTCCATGCTCCTGTTTACTTTACAGATTTCATGTTATGCCATAAGCCTTAAATGCTCTGTGTGCAATTCGTTATAGCAGAAATTTAATATATGGTGTGGTGTCAACTGCTAGCATTACTTGAGTGTTTCTGTTCTTCCTTTCTCTAATCACTCGGATGAGATGAGATGCTACTACACTCTTTTCATTGTTTCTAACGATCAATATTATTGTTTTCTTGTCTGTAGAGTCCAAGGTCATCGCATTACTCTGGCGGTTACAACCAGCCTGTGTACCGACCCCGAGGACCTTCCGGTCCTCCTCAGTGGGGTTCACGTGGTCCTCATGGCCCCCCTCCGATGCCATACGATTACCACCACCGTGGTCCATATCCATCTCAGGGTTCACATTACAATTCTCCGAGCTATGGTGGTTATCCTCCGCAACATATGCCTCCTAGAAGTGGGTATGGTGCTGGGTGGGACCAAAGGCCTCCACATATGGGCACATATGATTACTATGGCAGGCAAGGTAGTCAACCCGCTGGTCCACTTCCCTCTCCTGCTACCGGACCTGCCCCTGGTCCATCGCCCTCTGCCATGGGCCCACCTCCTTCCCAAGCAAACTACGGCTATGGACAAAGTCATGGTCCAGAGTATGGACATGCTGCTCCTTACTCTCAATGGGGTCCTCAGCAGACTTATGGGCAAATGTATGAACAGCCCAAGTACGATAATCCTCCAATGCAGCCACCGTATGGAGGACACGGTGGTTCTCAGCCGGGATACCCACAAGCGGGCGGTGGCCAACAGGGTTATGCCCAGCAGCAGCAACCGGGAAGGCCATATGGGATGCAAGGACCGACACTGCAAGGTTATGGACCACCGAGGGCAGCTGCACCTCCTGGAGATATGTCTTATCAAGGGGCTACTCCCACAGTACCTTCATATGGTGCTCCACAACAGCAATATGCTTATCCATCAGGTGCTGCTGCCCCGATGCAATCTTACCCTTCGTATGGCTCTGGAGCACCGACTGATGGGTACAGCAGTACACAAGCACCTGCATCATCCGCCCCAGCTTATCAGCAGCAGAGTGTTCAGCCGGGTTCTGCTCCTGATCAGTCCGGTGCCCACCAAGCTACAGCTGGATACGGTCAAGTACCTCCAACCAGTGGTTACAGTTCTTACCCGACCTCCTCCCAGCAGGTGTATGGTAATGCCCCGGCTCAAGCCAGCGGAAGCTATGGACTGCCGGGCTCCCAAGATCCTAGTTACGGAAGTGGAAACACGCCTGCTTACGCTTCAGCACCTGCTCAAACTGGCTATGAGCAGCCCACGGCTCAGCCAACAGGCTATGCTACCGCTGCAGCTGCAGCTCCAGGGAGTGCACCAGTGAAGTCATATCCTCAGTACGATGCAAACCAGGCGTATGCCGCCCCCCGCTAAAGAAAAGGCAGCTTTTTGCGAGGTTAGTGAGCTTGCATGTTATGTATTACAACTCCTCTGGAAGTTAGACACAGCCTTATAAGTAGTTTCTCTGATCTTGTTACCTGTGTTTTTTTTTTTTGTTTAAATGTACCGGGGATTTTTACCTTTGTGACTATGTTTCGGTTAAATGCAGCATTGTAATCTGGAACACCCCAACTGTTCTTCTCTTGGACTCTTGCCGATAATTGAGGAAATCTGTCTGTTCTTAGGACATAAATCGATTAGATCTAATAAAATTTTACATGATATATATATATATATATATATGACGTGGTCTATGACGTGACCGATCACGTAAATTGCCATCTAACAGAATTAAAAGTCAATGAATGTATAAACGTTTGACAAATTTAGAGTGTTTAACAGAATCTTTTTTTAAATTGAATTTTTTGGTTAAAAAAATGATTTTTTTTTTAATTTGTACTTTGGGAATTTTTTTTAATGGGATTTAACCAAATATGTACCAAAATTCTGGTCAACACGTGCGTATCTATGATTGGGAAAAAAACAAATCTTCACCACCCCTTTAATAGCGAAAATACATAGTAGCCATTTTTTTTTGTTACGTTGCTTTGCTTAGCATGTGTCAATTCTCAATGTGGGCTTATAACATTTACTCGATAGGTGGGCCCATTCAATATAAATAATAGGCCCAATACGATTCAATAGGAGCCCATTGACTTATTTTCCGTCCTCAGGAAAAACTGAGCGCCCGTGTTGCAGAGGTAAAGCGCTTCCACTCCGGTGCCTTTTTTGATCCCTGAAGCTGCATCCATGGATTCGTCTTCGAATTTGAATCCTGTTCGCGAAGATAACTCGGAAGAATATAGAGTTCCAAGAGAAGCGACCGCTTCTGCCTTCTCCGCTCGTCCTCTTCGCCCTCCTTCTACGTGAGTCGACCGCGATTTCATCGCTCACTGATTTTTCTCTCCGATTTCGTCTCTCGATTCTACTTCTGTTTGCATTTCTTCCGTTGGGTGTCGAAAACTGAATGATCGGCTACGCTAGCTCTGATTCCATGTTTGGTCGTGGGGATCTTCGGAAAGTATTGTTCTTGATCATTTTCTGTGGCATTATTTTCATCGTAAATTTTCTTGAAATGGAAAGGGAGACACGAAAAGGAAGAAGCTTTCATGCAGGAGTTCTTTTGGAAACATGCTATTGGTCATCCTTTTTTGTATTGATTTCATTGTACATGAATGTGAAGCTAAAGGAGAAGGTTTTATGCAGGAATTCTTCGGATAAGTATTCACCTGTAGAGTGGTCAAGCTATTTTGATAAAGAAGAGGATATATCAGTCCCTGGTTCCAACGATGTAACGACAGCTAATGCTTTGAGTCTTCGTAATATGTCAGTTTAGCCCCCTCTTGTTCTAATGGGCGGTTTCATTTTAGGTCTTTCACGTATATATGGCAGGAACCGAAGGACCTGTCGTTTTTTGTCTTCATGGAGGTGGCTACTCCGGGTGAGTATTGTTATCCTCTGCTCGATTCTTGTTTTCGGGCATGCTGTATCAACATTCTGTTTTGGTATTTGCTCTCCAGTTTATCTGTGAAAACCAAGATCAAATTGCTCATAAGTTGTCTGAGTTCAAGCTTTGTGGGGCTTAAACTGTAGCCTTAGGCTAGTATATTAACCGAAAAACTAACCCCCTGGAAAAGAGTATAACAATTTTGTCTCGTCTTGCTAGGCTCTCATTTTCTGTCGCAGCAAATCAAATTAAGGAGAAAGCTCGTGTAGTTGCAATGGACTTGAGAGGACATGGAAAGTCAGTTACGGAAAATGAATTGGACTTATCAATCGAGGTATAATGTCCTTTTTTGCCAAAGGCTTAAAATGGTCTATGAGAAGAGAGACTGATGTATGGTCATTTAACAGACCATGTGCAATGATGTTTCTGCCGTGGTGAAGGAGTTGTATGGAGACTCCCCTCCAGCGATTGTGCTTGTTGGTCACAGGTTCGTCTCATTGTAGCATGGAGAAACGTAAATGGTAAAAACCCAAATGTCATCGGCTGTTTTTGATGGTATTGACATATACAGCATGGGAGGTTCAGTCGCTGTGCATGTTGCTGCAAACAAAACGTTGCCTAGCTTGGCTGGGCTGGTCGTTGTGGATGTTGTTGAGGTTTGCTTTACGATAGAAAAGTCTCATCTGTCTTAACATTTGGTTTGCAATCTGCTGAAATAAAAACTTAATTCTTATGTAGTGAAATGATTACTTCCATTGCAGGGGACTGCTATTGCTTCGTTGATTCACATGCAGAAAATTCTAGCAAACAGAATGCAACACTTTCCCAGCGTTGAAAAAGCGGTAAGAGCCTTCGAACGATGTCACGTGTAAATGCATCATATCTAGCATGCTGTAGAGACTGTTTTTGGGTCTATGACCTTTGAAGTGATGTGGTGAACTTTGTAGGTTGAGTACAGTGTTAGAGGTGGCTCATTGCGGAACCTTGACTCTGCTCGCGTCTCCGTCCCGTCAACTCTGAAATACGATGATTCAAAGCAATGGTGAGCGGTTCTGTTGCTCATCTTACCGGATCTGAACTCGTTTTACATTCTATATTCTTGATGGGTTGATGCATAATTTTGTAACAGCTACGTTTACCGGACACGTTTGGATGAAACGGAACAATATTGGAGGGGCTGGTATGACTTTGTACCTCTCCTTTTCATTTAAGAAACCTTTGAATCGACATTGTCCAAGCACTATAAAAAAAAAAAAGTCTCTTTTAGTTGATAACTTGTGAGAATTCTGTCCTAGACGATTAGCCAGTTGTTGCATAGGGTACAAAACATCATAAAGTGAACTGGATGTCGAGTATATAGATATAGTGTCTGTGTATGAGCTTTGACCCGGTATCAAAAAATTTAAATAATGTAAAGCAGAAACGCAGAACATTTATGAGGTCTGACATTATCGTTTGCCTCCTAGATAGTTTGGATTCAAAACAGTCTTGATCGCTTGCAGGTACGAAGGTCTCTCAGACAAGTTCTTGTCATCTCCAGTTCCCAAAATCTTACTCTTAGCCGGAACAGACCGGTTGGATAGGTAATGAATCTTTGTCCCTCCGAGCTCATCTTGTTCCAGAAAAGAAAAAAAAAACATTTTTTGGAACTTGCATCTTTGTTATGAGTGCATGCTGATACAACCCGATGTTGTTCATCGATCAGAGCCCTTACGATCGGTCAAATGCAAGGCAAGTTCCAGATGGTGGTTGTCAGACACACAGGGCATGCCATACAGGTAAAGCCATAGCCATGCTCTTTATAGAATCTTAATGAAAATGTTGCAAGTAAGACACAACGTAGATGAAACAGACATAGTAAGTTTTTTTAATTTGAAAAAGATTGAACCCCCCGAGTTCTTGCAAGGATTCGAACACATGAATGATTACCAGTAACCGGTTTGAAGCTATCATTTTCGGGCATTATTCTTTGGTTTTTGGATCGTGAACTTATTTATAGTAGAGGATCGGGGCTTTGCAGGAAGATGTGCCTGACGAGTTTGCCAATCTCGTGACGGGTTTCATATCGCGAAACAGGATCGGGCCTCATGGTGTGGAGGTTTGTGAACTGAGATCATCATCTTTCGTTTAAAGCCGAGAAACAGGCACCCCATCTCACTTTTGTAATTTTGTGATGCGTGGTACAGATTCCAGGCCTCCTTCGGCGGTCACAGCCAAAGCCTTAGCCGCGACCAGCAACCCCCCAACGTCACTTTCTGTTTCTAGTTGTAATAATGGAACCGAGTAGAATGCTTGTACTGTTCGGTTATATATAAATCTGATTCGGATGCTGCGTTATCGTATATGATTTTTCTAAAAACATCATATTGAATTTTAAATTTATATAAAAAAATAATTATGAACCATAAACGGCACTTTGAGGTTGGAGCTTTAGAGACTTTGTGATACGATGAAGACAAACACCTGAAGCAAATGAAATGACAGTGAAAACACTCTCCTCTTTGGAGAAAAATCAGAAATATGCCCATACGATACAAAACTCGGTTTCATGACCCAACACAGTCTTCATTTATTTTATTGGCTAAAGAATTGCGGAGAATAATAGACTCCATTGTCGGAATGCAAAAGCTAAGGGGACATTTCCCAAAAACTCCAAATTAAGCGGTGGCTTCCTTCAAATAGGCGATGAGATCAGCACGTTCTTGCGGTTTCTTCAGTCCAGGGAACACCATTTTCGTCCCGGGAATGTACTGTCAAATGAAGAAGAATCAGCATTTCGAATAAGCCATAAACCACGACTCAGTGCCCTTACCGAAATATGGCATATGCATATGTGTAAGGGACGACAGAGAGTGATGCCAGTGCCTAAAAGACAGAAGTAACTTCAAACAACTTGTCAGTGATGCAATTCCTCCTAGCTATGTCTCTTGTTACTATAAATCTTTATGGCAAACTCAGGCGAATGCCCATAAAATTTGGTTCGATTTGATTGATCTCTACTTGTGTGTGACTTGTGGCGGGTTTGGGTAAATTTTATAAACAACACAGCCAATATCTTCGATTGTGGATAGACGTGAGGGTTCTGGTGAGAATGCAAATGCAAATCCACAGACCAATATCAAATTCATTACTGAGTTCTCTGACATGGTTCAACATTTTCGTACAAACAACCTTGCCTAATCAAAATCCAAAGACTATCCTGATTCAGTAGAAAAGACACCAGACGGATATAGGGGTGAATCAGTGGCTGAAATCAAGAAAGGAGAAAGTAAATACCTTCTTGGGGTTCAACAGGTAATCGTACAGAGTCTTCTCCTCCCACATCACAGCCATGTTCTTGTTAGCCGCGGAGTAGGAATATCCAGGAGTTGTCCCAGATTGCCTTCCGAACAACCCGTTCAAGTTCGGACCTGTGCGTATAACAATAACAATCACTCGAACATCAGAAACATCAAGCAAACTCGAGAAAAAAAAGCCCGCTTATGTGCATACAACAGCGGAAACACAGGCAAAAACGATACATCTACATAGATCTCATCCAACAATCGCGTAACTCTGCTATGAACGCACTAAAACTCCAAAAACCCTCGTCGATAAACCAAATAACGAGGGAATCTCGCCCCATGGACGATCTATAAATCGATTCGGCCACAGCATAAAAAAACGAAAAGTCCAGATGCGCAAGATCCGTGCGGGAGAACACAGATGATCATGAATCGAGGAGACATAACACACAGATCCAGACACAATCGATCGAGGGATAGAGAGAGAAGACGAACCTTGCTTGTGACCGGCACCTTTGTCAACGGTGTGGCACTGCGCACACTTGGTCCTGAAGATCTTCTCTCCTGCCTTAGAGTTCCCAGGTGGTGCTTCGTCGAACGACGCCATTTTTTCTTCCTCCCCGACAGAACAAACGCGAGATAGATAGAGAAAGAGATTTGATAGATGGCTCCCGAGGAATGCGTGTTAGAAGAGGGGGGGGGGGGG